CTTCGAACGTCTCGTATCACACGTCTCAATATTTCAAACTCCCGAACTTCGCTATCGGTCAGCACTCGATCATAAAAAAAAAGAAGGAAAATGTCGAAATTTGATCCATCTTCCGTATCCCCTCTCCAGCTCCCTGCCCACACACGCGACGTTCTTCCGTTTGAGAATTTGGCGTCACGTTCCGAGTTCTGGCAACCACCCTACACCCTATATCCTTCACCCCCCCCTTCACTCTCTCTCAACCGTTTAACCTACTATCATTTCCTTCGTTAGACCCTCTATTTTTTTAAATCCAAGCTTTTTTCCGTTTCCGAAAGTTCTCATGCTTCTCTCTGTCTCTCTCTCTCCCTCTCTCTCTCTTTATCCGCGTGTGTTTCTCTCTTCGCGCGCCCATAGGGAACGTACTTTCCGCCATGGAATAATAAGTAATCGGCGTCTTGTTTTATCTCTCTCTTTCTCTCCCTTTCTCTTTTCTCGCGATCGCTAATTTAAATATATAATATATTATTGTAATATCTTTCTCTCTCCATACACCCAGTGATCCAATCAAAATGTATAAACGCACGCATATATACGTGGAATTTATGAGAATTGATTTCCTCCCCGCTCTGTCTCTCGCTTTCTAGAGTAATTTTTCCCGCTTAAAAACTCTCGTTTGTCCGTCTCCCCCCCCCCCCCCTGCCATTTTTCGCGCTCGCGGCTGCGCGGCGTCTTTCGGAACGTAGATGCTAAAGAGAATACCTATAAATATATTTTATATTAAGTGTATATATATATAATATAATAATAATATAATTTATATATATGTATATATATATATGTGTGTATGTGTATTCCACATCACCATACCACCTTTTTTTTACCACATCTTTTTTTTTTCTTTATACTTAACATAGAAAAAATATAGAATTTATTTTACCTCGAACTTAAATATAAAATAAACTTCTTTTTTTCTCTTTGCTTCTCGATTATCATAATATATAAATATACGTTTCTGTTATGCATCAACGTGTTATTGGTGCACGTGTATCTTTCATGTGTTACGCGTGGATGTGTATACGTATTAGGGTGTTGTATGTTCCATTTCTCGTCAGTGTCCGTGAAGTGTTTGCCTGTGACGTTATACAAGTAACAAAATAATAATAATACACATATACCGTTCGCGCGTGTCTTTCGCGCACCCCCCGGAGCTCCGTGCGTACGCGAGAATTTATTTTTAGCGTGCGTTTAACGCGTGCGGAGTGAGTGCGTGAGTGTAGTGCGAGTCCTCGTTCGTGTATCACACGCGTGCGTGAGTGCGTGTATAAAGGAGAGTCCAGAACGAAGATCCGCGCGGTATAATACGGGAAATGTAAAAGGAACTGCAGATCTATTCTGTAACTCTTAACGTAAATTTCGTTGTCATTAGAACGCCGCTGCGCAGCTTTTTTTACCATGAAGATAGAGCTGCGCAGCAGCGTTGTAATGACAACGAAATTTGCGTCAAGAGTTACAGAATAGGCCTGCTGCAGTGGAATTCTGCAACTCGTTATGCGATCGTTGTGTGCTCACAACGACAGTCGCGCAGATATTTTATATGGTAAAAAAGCTGCGCAACTATCGTTACGAACTCATAACGACTGCATAACGAGTTGTAGAATTCCATTGCTGGAGTGAAAATACACGAAACGAAGCGGTCACACACGACGAACGGAGACATCTCGGCGCGACGAAAATTACAGAATAAAAAAAAAATAAACAAGAAGGTCGAGTCTTTTTGTGTTCAGAAAAATCGAAAAAATATTCTCTTTCATCTTCCAACGTCCATCACGAGATGGGCGATTTAGATATATATAATATATATATTTATATATAATATATGTAATATGTATTATATATCTCGACTTATTCGGAGCTGCGACTTGAGCATATATTCGTTTAAAAAATGGCAACGATTGACAAGAACTTTTGATAAAAAAATAGAAATGCAGACAACGACGAAGGAGGCTTGGTAATGCGGGGAGGGAGGAGGAGGAGGGGAGGGGGAGGGAGAAAGGGTGGATAAATCGAGGAGATTGTGACAGAGGAGTTGGAAAGAAAAAGTGGAACGTATGGAATAAACTCGATGTCGAAGCGAGGGAAAACGAAAATGCGCGGAATAGTACCTCTCGCAATTAACGTTTTAAGCTATCGCGTTTGTTGTTCGAGTAAAAATTCGAGGAGTATCGTCCTCTCCTGTCACGCGCGTTAAGGGTCCTCCATTGTGAAAGCCCCGTTTGATTAGCTTCTTCCCCTCTTTCGTCTTTCTTCGAAACGAGATTATATATGCAGAAACAGGTCGTAGGGACATGTACCGAGCTCCCTCTCGTGGATACGAAGGACGAACGTCGCGGTTTTGCACCCTCGCGTTTAACGGGGGGGCCCTTAAGAATCGCTCTAGCGAAAGCACGATGTTCGTCCACGAGAACGGGGGGAGGATAGGACGATGTCATAGTTACCGTCTGTCTCTCGAAAGTAATGAGAGACGTTCGGGCATTCGTCCTTCCTTCCAGCGATCTCGGAGAGGAAGCGGTACAGCGACATATTGTATATGTATATAGAATAATATGGACGTATATGACGGATGCGCGATCCGATATACATCCATGCGGTATACATACATATATATAGATATATATATATATATATTTATATTGATGCAAGGTAATATAGCGATAATATATGATTATGTCTTTCCAAACGAAAAAAAAAAAAAAAAACACGCTACTACGTATGCATCATCGATCCTTAACGTGAAACAAGTGTCGTTCCTAGCATCGGATTTAAGCGATCCGCTCGATTATCACGAGTTGAAAAATACAACTCGCAAGAGTTGTCGGCGCCATCGACCGACCCCATTTTTTGCGCTCGTTCTTCCTGCCCGAGAGCGGACGCGCGGCCCCTCGACTTACGCGTTTGCGTTCTATTCTCTCCCTCTTTATTTTTTTTTATCCTCATAATTTTCTGCAATTTTCCATTTTCTCTACGCATCATGTAACATATTCCTAGATAATATGTTGATAATTTCTCTCTTTCTCTATGGCGTTACGGCCCAAAAGACCACCCGTCGTCCCGTCGGCGAAATGCGCGAAAAATACAAAAATCTAGATCTCGTCGACAAAATATCATTCGCCGCCTATGTTTTCTCTCTTTCATTCACACACACACATACACGTTCCTTTTTCTCTCGCTTTCGCACCAACGGTCAAACATCATATATGCATATATATATTTATATATGCACGATATATAAATATATATATATATATATACATGTTGTTTATGTTTATAATATATTAGAGCTATTATATTTTTCCATTGCTATTTCGCTTATATAAAGATATCATTTTAAGATAATACTCTAATGGCGAGGGAAGCCGGGTGGAACGAACGCGCCGTCCGCTATATATTCACTACGTGATTTCGTGGCGAATCGAGGGGCCCGTGACCCTCTCTTCTTTTTCCCTCTCTTTTTCACGTGTAGGATGTCTGTGCGAGATCATCTATCAGTGTGTCTAGTGTGTGTGTGTGTTTGTGTGCGTGTATTTATGTGTCTGCGACTCGTGTACGTGTAGATAATTCTCGGTAATCTTCGCTGTCGCACTAGCGACCGCAGCTCGCAGGTTCGTCGAGTTCGTAATTGTACACTCGGCAACGGAAAACCCCTTTCTGGATCGATGAACTTAACACTTTCTACGCGCGTCCCAAGCGAACGCTGAGATCAAAACTATATTGTACGCTTTTTTTTTTGTGTAAAGAAAAATAGGAAAAATATATATATAAGTGCAGCTTGCGAGAAGTCGCAAGAGTTGTCCGACGCGCGATCTTTGCAAAATTATCGAGAAAATCTTTCTTTTGTCTAGCCCTTTTGGCACAAAATCAAGCATCGCAGGTTAGACAAATAAAACGTTGGATACGTATCTTCGCCTTGTTTCATCACCGATTAAAAAGATTTATACAGTCGAAGATACGAATATAAGCATGCTTTGACCGAATATGATATACGAAGCTTAGAAGCAGTCAAAAAATGGAAAGTTATCTCTTTGGACATGATTTGAACATGATTTATCATTCAGTCAGTTATAAAAAAATATATATGAAAAGGAAAATTGACAAAGCTCTAAGTCCATCATGCTATAAAACAAAGCCGCCTCCGTTCCCAGCAAACGTTCGACCCAAAAAAGATCTCAGGAACGAGCAGAGTTTTAAAAAACAGCGAAACACCGGCGGTGGTTGAGTATAGTCAAAAAGTTCGGCGATGAAGGCTAATCTGGTCCGTGACTTGATAGATTCATTTCGGACTGTGTATAAGCCTCCGGTAGAAAGAAAAGAGAGTAGCGTCTCGGTAATCATCAGTCTCGCTACTAGTAATATCAGTCGCATAATATTGCAACGTCGAGCTTTTGCGGGCAATAGAGAGGCTTTTTTTTTCTCGCATGTTAGTCCGGACGGTACGATGGGAGTCATTCGTTTGGTGCCCTCGTACCGTCTCTCTCATACCTCGAGGCTTATTAGAATATACTCGACGAGCCGCGAGCCCAATCTATGCAAGCG